GGACAGAGGAAGGGGTGAATTTTGGATGGCTTGGCAAGCTATACAGCATCAGAGTGAAGACAGTGCATCTGGGGAAGGAAGCACAGCTCAAACCTACCAATTTCCTTTACCACCACATCAGGTGCACCAAAGAGAGCAGCTAAGCACCAGTTAGCCTCCTCATCTTGTGTTTGAGTGAAAACACAGATGTTGTTGAATTTAAATATTCTCATAGTGTTTGCAACCTATATATAACAGAAGCATCTGTCTTTGCTCTAAGGCCTGGAAGAAAAAATCAAACCAAAAGGGAGCCATGCTACTCTCTCACTATCCTCCTTTGGTGGGTTGACCTTGGCTGGATGCCAGGTGCCCACCCAGCCACTCTATCATTCCTCTTCCCAGCCGGACAGGAGAGAGAGTAAGGTGGAAAAACAACTCATGGATTGGGATAAGGCAATTTATTTAAAGCAAAAGCAAAGAGAAAGCTTTGAGAAGAATCTGGATTATTTTCCTCCCTTTCTCAAAAACTTTTTCTGCTGTCTTGCCCCACACAATGATATAATCAATATATTGCAGGTGTTCTGGAGCTCCCCCCTGTTCCAGTGCAGTCTGGATCAGTCCGTGGCAGATGGTTGGGCTGTGCTTCCACCCCTGGGGCAGTCATAGAATCATAGAATCAGCCAGGTTGGAAAGGACCTCTGAGATCATCAAGTCCAACCCTTGATCCACTACCACCATGGTTACTAGACCACGGCACTAAGTGCCATATCCAGTCTCATCTTAAAAACCTCCAGAACCGGAGAATCCACCACCTCCCTGGGCAGCCCATTCCAATGCCTGATTACCCCCTCTGTAAAGAATTTCTTCCTAATATCTAACCTAAACCTCCCTTGGCACAGCTTAAGACCATGCCCTCTTGTCTTACTGATAGTTGCCTGGGAGAAGAGACCAACCCCCACCTGGCTACAAGCTCCTTTCAGGTAGTTGTAGAGAGTGATGAGGTCTCCCCTGAGCCTCCTCTTCTCCAGACTAAACAATCCCAGCTCCCTCAGCCTCTCCTCATAGGACTTGTGTTCGAGTCCCTTCACCAGCCTTGTTGCTCTTCTCTGGACCTGCTCCAGCACCTTGACATCCTTCCTGAACTGAGGGGCCGAGAACTGGACACAGTACTCCAGGTGTGGCCTCACCAGCACTGAGTACAGGGGAAGAATCACTTCCCTGGTCCTGCTGACCAGACTGTTCCTGATACAGGCCAGGATGCCATTGGCCTTCTTGGCCACCTGGGCACACTGCTGGCTCATGTTCAGCTTCCTGTCAATCCAAACTCCCAGGTCCCTTTCTGCCTGGCTGCTCTCCAGCCACTCTGTCCCCAGCCTGTAGCACTGCATGGGGTTTTTGTGGACAAAGTGCAGGACCCAGCACTTGGCCTTGTTGAACCTCATCCTGCTGGAATCAGCCCAACTCTCCAGCCTGTCCGGGTCCCTCTGCAGAGCCCTCCTGCCTTCCAGCTGATCGACACTCCCCCCAACTTAGTGTCATCTGCAAATTGGCTAATGGTGGACTCAATCCCCTCATCTAAATCATCAATAAAGATATTAAACAGAACTGTGGCCAACACTGATCCCTGGGGGGCACCACTAGTGACCAGCCGCCAACTGGATGCAGCACTGTTCACCACCACTCTCTGGGCCCGACCATCCAGTCAGTTCTTAACCCAGTCCCTGTCCAAGCCGTGGGCTGTCAGATTTTTCAGGAGAATGCTATGGGAGACGGTGTCAAAGGCTTTGCTGAAGTCCAGGTAGACTACATCCACAGCCTTCCCCTCATCCACCAGGTGGGTCACCTGATCATAAAAGGAGATCAGGTTAGTCAGACAGGACCTGCCCTTCCTAAACCCGTTCTGTCTGGGTCTGATCCCTTGTCCATCCTGTAGGTGCTGTGTGATTACACCTAGGATGATATGCTCCATAACCTTGCCAGGCACTGAGGTCAGGCTGACAGGCCTGTAGTTTCCCTGGTCCTCCTTCCGGCCCTTTTTGTGGATGGGCATGACATTCGCCAACTTCCAATCATCTGGGACCTCCCCAGTGAGCCAGGACTGTTGGTAGATGATGGAGAGAGGCTTGGCGAGCTCTTCTGCCAGTTCCCTTATCACCCTAGGATGGATCCCATCTGGTCCCATAGACTTGTGAGGATCCAAGTGGCTCAGCAGGTCACTAACTGTTTCCTCCTTGATTACAGGGGGGCTATTCAGCTTCTTATCTCTGTCTACAAACTCCAGAAGCCAGTTTAAAGCTCTATTAATCAGCCCTGCTAACACCTGCTCAAAACCCCTCTTCCCCCTCTGAGAAAGGTGTATCCCATCAGGTGTCAGTAGTCTTGGAGTATAGAGCATCCCATGATCAAAAAACCCAAAATGACATCAGCCTCAGAGCCACATGTTGATCTGTTGGGTCTGCCTGTTCCTTTCAATATTTTTCCCTGCTACTGGAAGGATTGAGGAAAACACAACCCATGCTCCTGATCCTTCAACCAATTGTCTGAAGGCCCTGAAATCCCTTTTGATTGCCCTTGGACTTCTCTTTGCTATTTCGTCACTGCTGACATGAAGAACCAATAGTGGATAATAAGCAGAGGGCCATACCAGACTAGAGAGTTTTCTAGTAACATCCCTAACCTGAGACCTAGGGAGGCATCAGACTTCCCTATGGGTTCGGTCCAGTCAGCATATGGGGCCCTCTGTTCCCCTCAGAAGGGAGTTGTCTTTGACAACGACCAGTCTTTTTTTCTTAACAGAGACCGATGTGTTGATGGGTTCATCTTTGGCCTGTGGTGGGTCTGTTTCAGAACCATTTTGCACTGGCCGTGTCCAGCACAGGGGCAACCCCAGGTCTCTTCCCACAGGGGCCACTCCTGCAGACCTCCTGCCTGCTACCAGAATCTTGCCACATACACTAAATACACCAACTGAAATATTGAGGGGGAAAAAATAATCAAATACAGTTTAGTCCCTTGAGATTACTTAATATTTTTGCATCTCTTGAGTACTTTTTCTTTTGAATAGGGAGAAACAATGTCACTGTTTTTTTTGTCTATATATTCCACTTGTGAACAACTATTAAGCACAAATAACATCGCTTTGTTAAACAGCTAAGTTTTTGAACCTGCTGAGTTAGCCAAGATATCCACAGCAGGGTGTTGAGAAGAGGGGCAATTAAATATCACTCAAAATAGGGTTCTTATTTTTCCATACTCTTTGTTTGGCTATCACCATCATGAGGGCCTCTACCATGTTACATGTCATAGAAAGTCACGTGACACAAACTGTAGTGCATTCTTTACATTCCACAAGCAAACTATCAGAAACTATTAAAATTAACTTACGCTGATAGCACTAGAGACAGAACAAATCAAAGGCCAAGAATCAGATACAAAAGAATCTGTCTCAGACTGCTGAGGCCAGGCCCATCTGCAAGCAAATGATATTATGTGATGCTGGCATGCTCAATGCATGATAACTGATGCACTGCAAGGAGCTCGACTAGGTGTGCTGGTTTTGGTTAGGAGAGAGTTAATTTTCTTCACAATAGCTTCTTGTACTGCCCCGACATCAAGTAGGCTGGGGGTGCACAAGAAGTTGGGAGGAGACACAGCCAGGACAGCTGACCCCAACTGACCAAAGGGATATTCCATACCATATGGCATCATGCTCTGCATATAAAGTTGGAGGGGAGAAGAAGGAGGCGTGGGGACATTTGAAGTTATGGCGTGTAAAGGTCCAAAAACTAGATGATCCCAGATTTGGGGGAAGAAACTGGAATGCTTTATTGAACATGCGAAATGGTCTCGGGGGCAGAACATGCTAATGGGGAGGCCGGGTTATGCCAACTAGGGGATTCCACAATTGATTAGCATTTCCAGTAACAAGGATGACATATGGGGGAAAAATGGTTAACATTTCCCATAACCAGGATTACATGGGGGGGAAGAGAACAAAGGGGTTTCAACATGGTCTGATAGCATTATCACAAAGTCTTTCCATATCCTGCTGCAGAAGACAGGCTAATCAACATGTTTGAATATCAATGGGTCTTGTCTGGTCCTCAGATTAAGGAGTTTCTCCCAGCTCCTGCTGTCCACGGCCTGCTACATAATCCTATAAGTTCCTTTTCTGCTGATATCCAAATTTCGGATTGCAACAATGGCATTTTGTCTTCCCAAGTAACCTTTATGCATGATGAAGCCCTGCTTTTCTGGAGCTGGCTGAACACCTGCTTACCCATGGGAAGCAGTGAACGAATTCCTTGTTTTGCATTGCTTGCACGTGCGGCTTTTGCTTTACCCATTATACTGTCTTTATCTCAACTCACAAGTTTTCTCACTTTTACTCTTCTGATTCTCTCCCTGATCCAGATGGTGGGTGAGTGAGTGAGAAGCTGCATGGCACTTAGTTACCAGCTGGGGTTAAACCATGACACTAGGTGATCTCTAAAAGATCCCTTCCAATCCAAACCATTCTATGTGTTACTGTCTGATATAATCTCAATCTGTTTTAATTGCTACTTTTAAGAATGCTAGTAAATATCTAGAGAAACAAAATAAAAGTTTAATGTTTCACAAGATACATTTCTTTATTATCATAATCACAGAAACATGATTTTCTACAGGAATGTGTAGGTGAACATTAATCAATGCAATTAATTTTGTTTCAAAGATCAGGTAAGCATACTACAGAACATTGTATTGTAAAGAATAAAAATATCTGCTTTTGGTGCAAGTATTAAGATACAATAGTGTTCAATTCATCAATGTGTTGCAGAACATCATGCCACAGTCCACTTCAAAGAGGGTCACGACATGCAGTTTGTTAATAAAATGCTGTGATATATAAAACCACCAGATGTTAATTCATAAAATATATAGTGGTTGATTTGAATGATTTTGAAGTGATTTCAGTGTGGAATTTAGTTTTTATCCAGGAGAAACAGCCAGAGTCTCTTGCTATTTGGAATAGTCTTCCTTTAGTTGATGGATTTAGCTTCAGGTAGGAATGCCTCCCAGTATTTTATTAGCTTGAGAGAAGGAAAAAAAAACTACCTTACTTTAAGTACTGAATGTTGGAAAAACCCACACATACTCCTCTTGTAATGACCTTGTCTCCACTGGACAAAGTAAGAACACAGATGCTTATCCATTGTCCACTCATTAATTATCCTTTCACATTATTACATTATGCAAGAAAAACACAAGTAATAAACACATATCTGGTCATGCAAACAGAGTTATTCTTACACACTGAGCACAGAATATAGCTATACAGAATTTGTTTGCACAGTGAGTTTGCCATTCTTACCTCTAAAGGTGTTTGGGTTTTCTTTAATTATTTTATTTTTTTAATCAACTCTGGAGGGTTATGTTCCCAGATTGAAAAAAAAAAAAGGACATTTATTTGGGAACCAGGCCTACTTCTGTGTCACCAAAAGCTCTTTTACTGCTGTACAATATTCAGTACTTCTTTTTTTTTTTTTTTAAGCAGATAAACATTTCAGTATTCAAGTCTCTCCAGTAAGCCTATGCACATATTTAATGCATTTTACTCCAGTCTACAAGGTAAAGTAGTTCTTGAATAGAACCTCCACTCCCCTCCCATCTCCCTGACAAAGCTTCTCTCTTGCTCCCTGAATCAGGGCTATGCAAGTAAGAACAGTAATAGCTGGGAAACAGCAATCACTATATTCTCCTGCAATAGATTACAGACTAGAGTTAGTTCTCCATGTTTTATAAAATGCTATACTTAAAGCCTGCCTTTTGTAACTAACCTAATATGGAACATATTAACTTGTACAAAAATGTTAAAATTTCTTACCTGCTGTTGTGTTTGCACTAACGATTCTAAGTACTTGATAATAACAGTTTTAAAGTCTTTCAATCGTTCCCTCTGTTAATAAAGTAAATAATTATGGTAGATTAACCTCTTAACCAAGTTTGCTTGGAACATCGATATTATCTAAAGCAAAACTATAATTTATTTGGACAAAATTATACATGCCTCAAATCTTTGCACTTCCTCACGAATGGTTTTCGAGATCTGTTCAAAATCTTTTTCCCCTTGCTGAACTTTTGTCTCCCACTGGCAAAGGAAAAACATTCAGAGATAAGACTGCGTTCAATGTTCAGTCTATCGGTATCTGAATTTTTTTTAGTATATTAGGGATAGCCATTCAAGAATCGAAAAGCATCTATTTGTTTTTTGACATACTTAAGCAAAAGTCTCAGTACAGTAATTTCAAAACAACAATTTATAGAGAAGAATGTCATCAGATCAGTTAAAACAATGATATCTCTAAGGTAATATTATCTACATACCAAATATAAAAATATCTTAACATTGTTATTATATTAAGAAACAAAAAATGTAAAGATTCTTTAGCAAAGAAAAAGGATCTCTAAAGCTTTATTAGCTACTCCCTTTACAAGCACTGCTATGAAAGGAACCTAAACCTTTAAGCTTTCTTACCTGTTCAATCAAATGTGAAAAAGTCTCAAAAAATAGTTGTCTTTCCTTTTCACATAAGAGTTTATTAAATCTTCATCCCTGCCTATGGTCAAGTAAATGATTATCTTTGCCATATTTCTGCTGCAGATGACAAGCTAACAAGGGTGTGTTTATTGGTCAGAATGTATGTTATTTAAGTAAGCCAAAGCACAAGCTCTCTTGCTCAGTGGGGTCTGTTTTAAGAGACAGCAGGAATTAAAAAAAAAAAAAGAAAGAAATGCAGGTAAGAGCACAGAAGTAAAATTCAGAGAAAGTGAAGTTGCTTGTAGGGTTTTGCCATACTGGGAACAAGGCATTAATATCAATACTACAAAATACTTGGTCATGTTTATCCTTATTTTATGTCAAAAGACATACAGCTACACAATCATTACTAGACTTCCTTTGCACCTGCTTTTATGTAACTATTATGTTGCTAAATTTAAACCATCTGTGTAAGTATATTATGAAAAAAGCTATCATCCTGACACTTCAGACATATGCATGCTAACAGAAATTATAAAAATGCAATTGTATCTGTTAATCTCAATATACTAACTGAATTATGGGAGCTAATAGATCTGGTAACAGCTATCTTCCTCAGAAAAAAAGCAGCCAGGAAACAAAGTACACCAATATAGTATATTCCTGCTAAAAATCTACTGGTGCTATTTATTCACAAGAGCAGTTTGTGGTGCAGTGTTATCTTACTGTTGTGATATGCAATGAACATCTATTCGAATAAATATCTTGAGATATTTATGTATTTAGTCTGTATTTATTCAAAGTTCCCTTATTGTCTTTTCAGATGTACATTTACAGAGCTGTGCAATAAGTTATAACAGGATGTGCTTCAGGGTAATATTAATATGTGCACAGCCTACAGAGTTAGCTAATAACTAAAACTATATAAAATTCAATCCAGAAAAGAGAGATTAGGACTTCTTTGAAATAACTTGTGCCTTTATATTACAGCATCTTAGAGGTGCCCAAGACTTCAGAGATTTTATCATCTTACAGTGTCTGTCAAGGAAAAATCATCCCCTTGTTTTATATGGTGTTTTGAGGACTACTCTTTTTCCTTTTATCTGCATAAAGGAACTGCGTCACAGATGAAGCTCAAGCTGGATAGGCTTCCACTTTTTAATATCTCTGTCAAAAGGACTGCTAATAAAGAATTCAGCAACTCTGAATATATTTCAGTGGAAGTAATAATTTTCTGCCAGCATATTCACATTCTGGGTTTACTTAACAACCTTCTCTAAACACACAAGAAATTAGGAAAAAGAAACCCTTCAAGAACAACATCACTATTCTTTTTATAGTAAGAATAAGAAAGGGTCATTTAGTATTTCCTACTGCTCCAAACACTCAGGAATTAGTTTTGCCAATGAGTTCCAGCTCACTTGTTGCATGGTGGATGGATGACATCAAGAGAGCTAACCAGCAAGAATGTGGTCACAAAAGAGTGACTTTTTTTTTCCCAGTCAATAAAGGCCTTTTTAAAGAAAAAAAGAAAGCCATGTTAATGATCAACTTCAACACTACGTAAAAAATATATTGAAGTGCAGAAAGAACAAAGCAGCTTTGGTTAGTGACCAATAAGGCAACCAAACAAAATAAAGTGCATAAGAGATTGAAATCTGCAATGATGTTCTCCATTATTCATAACTAGAATGCATTAATGTTAAATAATTAAGCTGTCCTACCTCTTCAATTTCCTTAGTGAAGCATGTTAGAAAAAGTGCATAATCTATGAAACTTCAACATGTTGTATTTTTACTTTAATTATAATATATGCATATATATAAAAAATTAAAATATATAGGTAAATATGCAGGATCATTAAGCAAAACGTGAACAATTCTCTGTTAGTCTTTTAAGCTAGATTTTAGCTTTAGAAACCAAGAGATGTTCTTCTGACTACCCAAGTCATCTGCAACAGTTAAAAGCATTTTTAAACTTGTTCATGTTCCCCTCTTCCCATCTCCCAGACTCTCTAGAGACAGTATTTGACTGCCTTACATATCTCAGAATAGGTAACTATTATGTACATCTCATATTTTAAACAAATTACATTTAACAATGTCAGTAAATATGGAAAATAGCTAATACGTGATTTATAAACAAAAGTTGTATAACATAGGGCATTAATGGAGACTGAATGAATCAGTAAAAGAAGTCTGGCCTCCAGAATGATATTAATATTTGACAACATTACCTCTTTTATATCATCTTTAGCTTGCTGCAATTTATCAGGTCTGTTGGCAAGTTGGAGCTTTGCTTCAGCTTCATGTTTTTTTTGTAAAGTGACCTGAGCATCTTGCCATTTCTGCCAGCATTTCATTCGATGATCAAACACACCCTGTAAGTATGGGTGTTTATTAAACAATTGCAATTGTTAAAGTTGTCTAAATTCCTATTAGAAAAAGTTATTTCTGGATAAAACTGGAACAAGTATACTCAAAAGAAACTTTACTGTGTCTTGGATTTAATTTGACATCATCTTTGCACAGCTAAATACCATCTAAAAATAACAGTGGGCATTCAGGAAGCCTCTTTAGACAGACACCTTGGTGCTCCAAATCATTTTGTATTCCTTGTCCCATCACAATAGTACCAAAGCGATCACTGTAAAATGCTATAATATACAAATGCTTATCTAAATACAGATTCTAGCAAACTTTTTCATCGACTGTATGCATAACTGGCAGTACATTTTTGTTAGTAATGGATGGATGTAGTAGAATCAAAGTATACATTTTTTATATAGTAAGTATTTGATAAAATTTATATTAACATATAGACTACAACGATATATATATAATGTGAGTGTATATATTTAAAATATAAAAATATTTTCCCAACAGCTTGACAAGTTCAAAGATATTTCTGGATAAAATTCTAAGACACCCCTGTGATGGATTGACACTTGGCTGGCTGCCGCTCCCACTCACAGCTGCGCTGTCATTCCCTCTCCTCAACAGGACAGGAGGAGAAAATAAGATGAAAAAAAGCTCATCGATCAGTATAAAGACAGGGAGTTCACTTACCAATTACCATCATAGGCAAAACTGACTCAACTTGGGGAAGATTATTTTATTGACAATTAAAAACAGAATAGAAAGAAACAAAGACAAAAACTAAAACACCTCTCCCCTCCCTCTCAGGCTCAACTTCACTCCTTCATTCCAGACTGCTCTACCTCTCCCCTGTCTGAGAATATCTTCCCATAAATAGTTTGGTTTTTTTCTTCTCCTGCCTTACAGAGAGGATAACTCCCTGAAAAGATAAAATTCTTACAGATAACCTTGGAGGCCCCACAAGGTGGGGCCAGGTAAGCCATTAAAAAGGTCTGGAGAGGAAAAAGCAGCACTTCTTAAAATGCCCGGTGCAGCTAGTGCCATAATGTTAGTGTTCTCAGCTTTTGGAAATAAATTTTCCTAAATCCTTCACTGTTTGGTATCTGGGGGTACCTGCACGTAATCTTTCTTCACAGATATATATAGGATCCAAAGATACCACAAAACTAGTAGTCCACTGTAAGGAGGCAAGGGGACAAGTGCAAGAAATGGATGAGGAGTTGAGCTATTTTAAGGATTTTCCTTTGCTCAAGAGACCTTTGTAGTTGGAAGGCCTAAGTTTAGAAGAATATGTGGGAAGCAGCAACATTCTGTCTTTTCCTTGGCCTGTTTTTTGCCAAAACAGATGAAGTCTCTATCAAGAGAAGATAATTGCAGGTTGCGTAAAACTTCAAAGCATTCTTTCCCACAGACTGGGGGAAGGGAAGACAGAAGAAAAAGGGAAAAAATGCAAAAAACAGCCCAGAGGGCAGTTTGCATATGTGTCAGGATAATGAGAAATGAGAAGAGTTCAGATGGAAGGGACCTACAACGACCAATCCAGGCCTGGCCAAGTTAAAGCATGTTATTAAGGGCACAGTCCAAACGCCTCTTAAATGCCACTGACAGGCTTGGGGCATCATCCACCTCTCTAGGAAGCCTGTTCCAGTGTTTGACCACATTCTTGGTAAAGAAATGCTTCCTAATGTCCAGTCTAAACCTCCCCTGGTGCAGCTTTGAACCATTTCCACATGTCCAATCACTGGATACCAGGGAGAAGAGATCAGCACCTCCCTCTCCAATTCCCCTTCCCAGGAAGCTGTAAAGAGCAATGAGGTCATCCCTCAGCCTCCATTTCTGCAAACTAGACAAACCTGAAGTCTGTAGATGCTCCTGTAAGTCCTATGAGGAGCATCTGAGGGAGCTGGGGGTGTTTAGCCTGGAGAAAAGAAGGCTCATGGATGACCTTATCGCTCTCTACAACTACCTGAAAGGAGATTGTAGCACGATGGAGGTCGGCCTCTTTGTCCAGACAACTAATGACAGGACAATAGGACATAGCCTCAAGCTGGGTCAGGGGAGGTTCAGGTTGGACATCAGGAAGAATTTCTTCATGGAAAGGGTTGTTAAACATTGGAATGGACTGCCCAGGGGGGTGATGGAGTCACCATCCCTGGAGGTGTTCAAGAAAAGGTTGGACATGGCACTTAGTGCTATGGCCTAGTTGACAAGGTGATGATTGGTCAAAAGTTGGACTTGATGATATCAGAGGTCTTTTCCAATCTAAATGATTCTGTGATTCCTTCTAGCCCTTTCATAAGCTTTGATGCCCTCTTCTGGATGCATTCAAGGATGTTAACAGCCTTCTTAAATTGTGGGGCTCACAACTGCACACAGTACTGAAGGCCCCACCATTGTTGAATACAGTGGGATAATAACCTTTATTGACTGGCTAAGTTATATTGTGTTTGATGCACCCCACAGGAGGTAGTTTGCCCTCTTGGCTGCCAGGGCACACTGCTGACCCATGTTGACCCTGCTGTCAACCAGCATCAGCAGCCACCTTTCTGCAGGGCTGCTCTCCAGCCACTCCTCTTCCAATCTATACTCGTGCTCAGCGTTACTCTGTCACAGCTGCAGAATCCAGCATTTGTTCTTTTAAATTTCATCTCATTAATGATTGACCACTAGATCTAGATCATCTAGATCATCCATCTAGATCCTTCTGCAAGGCTTCTTTTCCCCCAAGAGAGTCGACAGCACCTCCCAGTTTGGTTGCTAATGGTGTTCCCCAGAGCTCAGTACTGGGACCAGCCCTGTTTAATATTTTTATCAATGATCTGGATGAGGGGATCAAGTGTACCCTCAGTAAGTCCACAGATGACACTAAGTTGGGCAGGAGTGTTGATCTGCTGGAGGGTAGAAAGGCTCTGCAGAGGGATCTAGACAGGTTGGATCGATAGGGCAAGGCCAACAGTATAAGGTTCAATAAGGTGAAGTGTTGATTCCTGCACTTTGGTCATAACAGTTCCATGCAGTTAGCTCTACAGGCTTGGAGAAGAGTGACTGGAAAGGTGCCAGGTGGAAAAGGACCAGTGGGTGCTGGACGACAGCCAGTTGAACATGAGCCAGCAGTGTGCCCAGGTGGCCAAGGCCAATGGCATCCTGACCTGTATCAAAAATTGGGTGGCCAGCAGGAGAGTAAGTCATATGAGGAGTGGCTGAGGGAGCTGGGGTTGTTTAGTCTGGAGGAGGCTCAGGGGAGACCTTATTGCTCTCTACAACTACCTGAAAGAAGGTTGTAGCAAGGTGGAGGTCAGCCTCTTCTCCCATGCAACTAGTAACAGGACAAGAGGAAATGGCCTCAAATATTGTCAGGAAAGGTTCAGATTTGACATCAGGAAGAATTTAACATTGGAATGGGCTGTCCAATGAGGTAGTGGAGTCACCATCCCTGGAAGTGTCTAAGAAAAGACTGGACATGGCACTTAGTGCTATGGTTTAGTTGGCATGGTGGTGTTTGGTCAAAGGTTGGACTCGATCTTGGAGGTCTTTTCCAACCTTAATGATTCTATGATTCTTTTTATTCTTTACATCACTTGCCAAATTCAGCTCCACCTTTGCCTTGGCCTTCCTCACCCCATCCCTACACAACCAGACTCTGTCCCTATACTCTTCCCAGTATACCTGTCCTTGCTTCCATTGTCTATGCATATGCTTCTTGCCCTTTTGTTTGACCAGTACGTCCCGACTGAGCCATGCTGGTCTCTTGTCTTCCTTGCCCAATTTCTTGTGCCCAGGGATCTCTAGCTCTTGCACTCTATGGAAGACATCCTTAACAATCTGCCAGCTTTATTCTGCTCCCTGGTTCCTGAGGGCAGTTTCCCGGGGAGTCTGTCACAGGCCAAATGGGAGCTTCAAACAAAGTATATCAGGAAGACCCTCCCATTGAGTAGCGAGGTGCAGAAAGAACCCCCTTGTTTTCTAAACTCTTTCTCAGAGAGGAGTGTGAGTGTGGATGGATCCAATCCTAGTTCCAGACTTAGTCAACAGTTTATTTCTAAAGGATTATATAGGTGTTAAAGTAGTTTTGAAGTCATGAACAGAGGTTTAGTTTTCTAAGACTATTCACCATTCAGAATCACAGAATATTCTGAATTGGAAGGGACCCACAAGGATCATCAAGTCCAACTCTTAAGTGAATGGCCCATACAGGAATTGAACCCACAACCTTGGCATTATTAGCACCATGCTCTAACCAACTGAGCTATTGTTGCTACCACTGCAGTATAACACAGTTAAAAAGTCTTAGATGTTAAAACTCAGTCTACTAACTGCTGGGTTGAGAGAGAGTGGGGAGGTGCTGCCGGTCCCTGTGGTCAGTTTAAACTGTGGGAAGCTGCATATAACTGGATCCTAGGGAGCGCCAGTGATCAGGGAGTGCAAACAGGGAGTGGCGTCAGTTGGGAGCAACAGTGGCAGTGCAACACAATGCGCAACAAGGGCAGTGCTTGCTGCTGCCTGCTCTGCTCACATGCAAGGTTAGGCTGCAGCCCTGACGGTCACCTCAGCTAGCTGCTGGCTGTGCAAGCCTACTTGGAAGCTTGAGATCTCCAGGGAACTTGAATTAGAAGGACGAGGTCTTTCAAAATAATTACCATTTTATAAATAAGTGAACCATTTGAGATTCAACAAGATCAAGTGCCGGGTCCTACACTTTGGCCACAATAACTCCATGCAGAGCTACAGGTTGGGAGCAGAGTGGTTGGAAAGCAGTCCAGTGGAAAAAGACCTGGGGGTGCTGGTTGACAGAGGGCTAAACATGAGCCAGCAGTGTGCCCAGGTGGCCAAGAAGGCCAATGGCATCCTGGCCTGTATCAGGAATAGTGTGGCCAGCAAGACCAGGGAAGTGATTGTCTCTCTGTACTCGGCACTGGTGAGGACGCACCTTGAGTACTGTGTTCAGTTCTGAGCCCCTTGATTCAGGAAGGACACTGAGGTGCTGGAGCTTGTCCAGAGAAGGGCAATGAAGCTGGTGAAGGGTCTAGAGCACAAGTCCTATGAGGAGTGGCTGGGGGAGCCTGGGGTTGTTTAGCCTGGAGAAAAGGAGGCTTGGGGTGACCTTATCACTTGCTACAACTACCTGAAAGGAGGTTGTAGCCATATGTGGGTCAGCCTCTTCTCCTAGGCAACTGGGGACAGGACAAGAGGACATAGCCTCAAGCTGCACCAGGGGAATTTCAGGTTGGACATCAGGAGTAATTTCTTCATGGAAAGGGTTGTTAAACATTGGAATGGAAACTGTCTCTGGAGGTGTTTAAGAAAAGACTGGACGTGGCACTTAATGCCATGGTCTAGTTGACATGGTGGTGTTCGTTCAAAGGTTGGACTCGATGATTTTAGAGGTCTCTTCCAACCTAATTGATTCTGCCATTCTGTGATTTTTTTCTGAAAACTACAAGGAGACTGTGTCCTGATGAAAGAAAATGGTGTCCACCTACCACAACTCCAAGGCTTAGGCTGAAACCCAAACAGAAGCACTGCAGCCTACATATGCTTATGTCTCCAACCAAACAGACCTCCTAAGGACTGAAATAGCTGTCCAGAGCTGAGATTGCATGGAGCTCCAACACCTGGAAGTGCCCCTAGCACCTGAAGGCATCTGCGTGTCCAGCAAGAACTCCTCAGACAAGCAGACATGTTACAAGAGGAGATCGACAGGCAATGCAACATCCAGGAATGTAAGCAGGAGATCGATATGCGATATTGAATGTTGTCCATTGGGGAGTTGTCTGGAACCAGCTGTGTCTGGCACAGGGCAGGCCCTGGCCTCTTCTCACAGAGGTCACCCCTGAAGCCCTCCGGCTACCAAAACCTTGCCACATAAACCTAATACAACCCCTCCCCATGCCAAAACCTAATCATACAGTACACCAAAATTGAATACTTTCTTTACTGAGATGTAAATCTATCAGCGGAGGGGTATGAACATAATGCTCACAGGTCAATGTGACCGGCAAAATATCAGCTTTATTAGAAGAAAGACAGCTTATATACTGCTTATGACACACAGACATGTGATTCTTTCCCAGGCAGGCTACATTGGATACATAAGGAAAACATACTGTGTTGTACAGTACTAATTGGACCACAGCAGGTGTCCGTAAAACTTGTTTTCCTGCCAAAAGAACTCCTCCTTCACCTTGGCACAAGGCCTGCAGCCTGATTAGTGGCGTAGTATTTTTTACTCTCTGCACCCACCCATGCCAAGGCAAAGGTCACAGAAATGCAATAGAAATTGTTCACACAATTTCTGCATCCTCCAACATAAATCCACAAGCAATATTTGTTGCTTATTTACTGAAACTATTGGTTATCTAATATAGCCAAATTATGTCCTTGAAAACATTTTATGAGCATAGTGCAAAAATCAGTTACCTGAAAGAAACGTGTTCAGCATGCTAACTAGTATGGTGTCCCTAAATACTCTGTACAAATAATATTGATCTAATTAGAAGATATTCACCATTTAGATTTTGTCTGGATCCTATTAATCCATGCCCATTTTTTGTCACAATTTTTAACATGGGAATAATTGATTGTGGATTCATTCATTTTACTTGATTGGAATTTCAGGCAAAAACTCAGAAAGTCTTAACTGCATAATGAAGTGTGCAAATGCATACAAATGTTCATAGAATCATAGAATGGTTTGGGTTGGAAGGGACCTAAAAGATCATCTAGTTCCAACCGCACTGCCATGGGCAGGGACACCTTCCACTAGATCAGGTTGCTCAGAGCCCCATACAACTTGGTCATTTACCTTAAATATACAAACTTCAAAGTTTGACCCTAAACACAAAAATTATACATTTTTCCTAGCAGTACTTACTTTTACTGCAGCAATAAGACGAATGTAGTCGCCGAGCAGTTCTGAGAACACATAAAAATCAGCAAAAGCTTGTTCTTGATGCAAGTGATCTATCTTCTCCTCAACCTCTGCAAGCTGAGACAAAGCTCTAGATAGAGCAGTGTGGTCCTCAGAATTACCTAACATGGCAGCACTTTTAGCAAAGGCAGCTGTGTTGGCTGAAAGCTCTGAAATACAGGAGTGACATCCAATACAATGAAGTTAATTTATTATGCTACTCTTCAAGATAGATCAACCAAACAGACCTCTGCCCTACAGCAACTGTAAGTTTACGAACTGAAAAAAAGAAATTATATTTCCAAAAGCTCACGATAAAATACGCAAGGACATTACAATGAAACGATATTTAGGAGAACACAGTGTACCCAAAACTCTCCAACATGAGTAAATGATTTGCCGACCCTGTTATGTGATGCCTTGTATGTCTTGCAAAATACATGGAAGAAACTGTCACTTCAGTATTATCCAACTGCTTAGTTCAGAAAAAGTCCAAGCCCACAAACCAAAAGTCAAGTCTCCTATACAGAAAATTCAAGATGATCTTAACTGGTCTGTACTGAAGTTGTTCCATGCGGGGGGGGGGGGGGAAGAGGAGAGGAAGAAAATTATTCAATGAGAACATCAACACCAGAGTGGAATTTGCTTCCATTATACTGTTCCATTGACAAGTTAACAAGACTTGATACTGTAATATATTATGTTTTGACATGCCTTAAAAAAAAAAGCATGTGACTTTGTGCCTGGCATCCATGAAGCTGAAGTTTTGAGCTTATTCATTAACAAACACTTAGGCAACTATGTTATCAAACCTCATGTCAAGTTGTGTACAATGTCAACTCCTTTGAAGAACCTTTGAAAAAAATCTCATTGTAATCCACTTTAGTTAAGGATTAAAAGCATAGGTTTGTTTATAACTGTGCTGCTTTTGCAGAATCGTCAGAACACCATAAATATTTGTAAAAGAAAATCTTCAGATATTTAAAACTATCACAATTTAAGTACGACACAAAAATAAAAAAAGCATTACTTGAAATCTAAGATCAGGTGTCAAATCAGCAGTAATCAGATAGATTCCCATTTTCATTACGTCTTAAAATACTCTTTAACCTTGAGGACATCTGATATCAGAGACATCTACCTCTACAGAGAATAATTCCTGGTAGAGGTATGAGAAAGCAACTTAAGACACAGAAGCACAGAATGGGTACAGTTGGAAGGGACCACAGTGGGTCTTCTGGTCCAATCTTTCTGCTCAAGCAGGGTCATCCTAGAGCACATTGTACAAGATTGTGTCCAGATGGTTCTTGAATATCTCCAGTGAGGCAGACTCCACAACCTCTCTGGGCAATCTGTTCCAGTGCACGGTCAGTCACATAGTAAAGAAGTTCTTCCTCATATACAAGTGGAACTTCCTGTGCATCAGTTTCTGCCTGTTGCCTCTTGTCCACCATGCATGGCACCACCAAGAAGAGCCTGGCTCCATCTTCTTGACACCCTCCCTTCAAATGCTTATAGACATTGATGAGGTCCCCTCTGTCCTCTCTTCTTGAGGCTGAATAGGCTCAACCTATCTTCATAAGAATCACAGAATCATTTAGGTTGTAAAAGACCTCTGAGATCATCAAATCACATTCCTGACACAGCTGGTAAAGTGAGCATACTAGAGGTGGTACCCTGCTAGACCTGCTGTTTATGAACAGAGAAGGGCTAGTGGGAGATGTGATGGTTGAAGGCCATCTTGGGCACAGTGACCATGAAATGATAGAGTTTTCAATACTCAGTGAAGTAAGGAAGGGGGTCAACAAAACCTTTACCTTGGACTTCAGGAGGGCAGACTTTGGCCTATTCAGGACACTGGTTTGGAGAGTCCCTTGGGAAACAGTCCTTAAAAACAAAGGGGTCCAGGAAGGCTGGACATACTTTAAGGAAGAAATATTAAAGGCACAGGAGTAGACTGTCCCTATGTGCCAAAAGACGAGGCCGTGGGGAAGAAGACTGGCCTGGCTGAGCAGGGAGCTTTTGCAGGAACTAAGGGGAAAAAAGAGGGTGTATGACCTTTGGAAAAAGGGGCAGGCAACTCAGGAAGAATATAAGGATGTTGTTAGGTCATGTAGAAAGAAAATTAGAGAGGCAAAAGCTCAATTAGAACTTAATCTGGCCACTGCTGTAAAAGATAAATAAAAGTGGTTTTATAAATACATTAACAACAAAAGGAGGTCCAAGGAAAACCTCCATGCTTTATTGGATGGGGGGGAGAATATAGTCACCAAGGCTGTTGGGAGAGCAGGATTGTGTGAACAATTTCTCCTGCATTTTTGTAGGTCTTGCTTGACATAACTTGGGAAGTTGCAAGCTGTGTGGTGTTTATACTTGTAGACTGTGTGAAACTATGTGAGTTTATACTTGTTAGCTGTGTGTTTATAGTTATAAGGTATGAGAAAATAGTGTTTATAGTTGAAAGTTGTGGGAAAACTAGAGATAAAGGTACACCTGGAAGATCTCGGAAAGCCCCTAAAGGCAGATCGATAGGAGGGACTTTGGGTGGCAAGAATGATCTCAGACCGCGTGGACAGAGCTTCAGATCCAATGAACTGAAGGCATGAGATGCGTGCACAGACTGAGCTATCCAATCACCTTGTTGTAAGCATGTACCTGGAACAAACTAAACTGTATAAAATTTAACTCATTTAAATAATAAATTGAACATTGTTGATCATATTGATCATCTGCGTGTGTTCCGGAACTCCTGCTGTCCATACAAGGCTGAGGTACTTAATGCCTTCTTTGCCTCAGTCTTCAACAATAAGACCAGTTATCCTCAGGGCAACCGGCCCCCTGAGCTGGTAGACAGGGACAAGGAGCAGAATAGACCCCCTGAAATCCATGAGGAAGTAGTTAGTGACCTGCTGTGCCACTTAGACACTCACAAGTCTATGGGGCCAGATGGGATTCACCCAAGGGTACTGAGGGAGCTGGCGGAAGAGCTCGCCAAGCCACTCTCCCTCATTTATCATCAGTCCTGGCTAACCAGGGAGGTCCCAGATGACTGAAGGTTTACTAATGTCATGACCATCCACAAGTAGAGCTGGGAGGAGGATCCAGGGAACTACAGGCCTGTCAGCCTGACCTCAGTGCCTGGCAAGGTTATGGAACATATTGAGTGTGGTCACACGGCACATTCAGGACAACCAAAGGATCAGACCCAGCCAGTATGGGTTTAGGAAAGGCGGGTCCTGCCTGACCAACCTGATCTCCTTTTATGACCAGGTGACTTGCCTAGTGGATGAGGGAAAGGCTGTGGATGTTGTCTACCTGGACTTCAACAAAGCCTTTGACACCATATCCCACAGCATATTTGTGGAAAAGCTGGCAGCCCACAGCTTGAACAGGTGCACTCTTCGCTGGCTTGAGAACTGGTTGGATGGCTGGGCCCAGAGAGTGGTGGTGAATGGTGCTGCATCCAGTTGGCATCCAGTCACTAGTGGTGTCCTCAAGGGCTCAATATTGGACCCAGTCCTGTTCAATATCTTTATTGATGATCTGGATGAGGGGATCGAGTGCACCCTCAGTAAATTCACAGATGACACCAAGTTGGGTAGGAGCGTTGGTCTGCTGGAGGGTAGGAAGCCTCTGGAGAGGGATCTGGACAGGCTGGATCAATGGGCTGAGGCCAACAGTGTGAGGTTTGCAAGAACTAAAAATATGTAAGCAGGAGATCGATATGTGATATTGAATGCTGTCACAGTTGAGAGACAGTCAGATTCAGCTGACCAACAAAATAACTCAAGACATGAAGGAAACAGGACCCTTTATCTCTCATTGGCAGAAGGAAGAACTTTCCCCTTTCCCTTAAGTGCCCCTACATAGCAGATATGATTCTCTGGGTGTTGGAGAATGATAACACACATGTGTAATGGACAAGATCCAGGAGAAGTCAACCATGCAAAGTTGATCCAATCGCCCACCCTCATGAGAACCAGCACCACCAAAAAAGTATGTAAAGTATTAGTAATTGGAAATTAGTAATTCCTCACTGAGAGGCACCAAAACACCCATTTGTCATCCAGACAGTTTCTCTAGACAGGTTTTCTGCCTACCAGGAGCTTGTATTCATGTCACTGAGAGGTTGCCAAGTCTGGTGGACCCTACAGATTATGATTTGCTCCTATTATTCCACGTAGGTTCCGATGTTACTGCGATGAGGCAAATTAGAACCATCAAAAGAGACTATATGTCCCTCAAGACTAAATGATCAAGAGCACAGGTCAAAAATAGGGGTTCAGGAAGGAGGACCTGAAATGAACATGGTTTTGGCTTCCATGACCATGGATCTACCTTTGAGAAGGCAAATCTGTTGGGAACTGATGGGATTCACTTGACCAGGTGGGGCAAGAGGGTCTTCACCAATAACCTGGCCATGCTTATAAGAAGAGATTTGAACTAGATTTAGTGGTGGAAGGGGATGGAGTTTTGACCAACAGAGAAGACCCAAAGGCTGCTGATGTAGTAGGAACAAACAGGGAAACATCTGTGAATTACCTCAAAGGCATTAAGGTGTGCTAAGGTATATTGGGTTTGCGTGGCAAGGTTTTGGTAGCATGGGAGCTACAGGAGTGGCTTCTGTGGGAAGATGCAAGAAGCTATTTCCATGTCCAACAGAGCCAGTGTCAGCCAGCTACAAGATGGACCCACCACTGACCAAAGCTGAAGTTTAACAAGAGCAAGTGCCAGATTCTGCACCTGGGATGGGGCAACCCCGGATGTACGTACAGACTGGGGAACGAGATGCTGGAGAGCAGAACTGCAGAAAGGGACCTAGGGGTACTGGTTGATGGCAAGTTGAATATGAGTCAGCAGTGTGTCCTGGCTGTCACATGTCTCCAGGTCAGCTTAGCAGCTTATCTGACAAATCTTTGCCTCACTACCAGGATGTTGATTTGGGGTTGATGAGCCAGACTGGTTTTAGCAAAATTCAATATCAAAAGCAGCACCTGGCAGCCCATCTCAACCCACCACTGATAGATTTGCACATAGGGCGGAGTTGCTTGACCACATTCCAGGATAAAGAGCCCTGCTACATTATTTCATTGCTGTTTCCAGTAAATTGTTCTTATCTCAATGTGTGATCTTTACCTTTTGTGCCTCCAGTTCTCCTCTCCAGCTCACCGCAGAGGGAGGGGGACAGGGAGTGAGGAGTGATTGAGCAGCAGGTGGTTTGGAGTGTTTCTGTGGGAACACTAACTTGGGGAATAGCATTTCTAAGCCAAGACACCAACACAGAGGAACTAATTAAAGATGTCAAAATTGGTGGCAGCATGGGCTGCAGTGACCATGTCCTGGTGGACAATCTTCCCAAGATTCATGATCTTGAGGGATATGGACCAGGTGAAAAGTATACTCAAGACTCTAAACCTTAGGAAAGTGAACTTTCTGTTGTTAAAGGAATTAGTGGATGTGACATCCTGGGAAACTGCCCTCAGGGATAAAGGAACAGAAAAGAGATGGCAGTTATTTAAAGACATTTTCCTCAGAGCACAAGAGCTCTTACTTCCCGCATGTAAGAAATCAGGCAAGGAAGGCAGGATACTGGCATGGCTGAGTAGGACTTCTTGGGCAAATTAAAGTGTAAGACAAATGCACAGGCAGTGGAACCATGGACACGTATCCTGGGAAGAATATAGAGGATGTGTAGGAGGGGATCAGGAAAGCTAAGGCACAGCTGGAGCTGAATTTGGCAATAGATAATAAGAATGGCTTCTACAGATATACTGGCCAGGGATGAAAGGTTAAAGAAAGTGTACCCCCTCCCCAATAAAAGACACAGAAGAACTGGTGACAACCATCATGGAGAAGGTTGAGGTACTCAACAATTTTTTTGCCTCAGTTTTCAATGGTAATCTCTCTTCCCACATGTCTCGAGACTGAATCTCAAGGCAGGGACTGGGGGAGTGAAGTCCCTTCCATCATAGGAAAAGATCAGGTTTGAGACCACCTGAGGAACCTGAATGTACATAAGTCTATGGGACCTGATGAGGTGCATCCCAAGGTCCTGAGGGAATCGCCCGATGTAGCTGCCAAGTCACTCTCCATCATATTTCAAAAGTCATGGCAGTCAGGCAAAGTCCCCAGTGAATGGAAAAAGGGAAACATTGCACCCACTTTTGAAAAGGGTAATAAGGAGGACCCTGGGAACTATTGACCAGTCAGCCTCACCTCTGTTCCTGGTAAGATCATGGAGTAGATCCTCCTGGAAGACATGTCAAAATGTATGAAAGACAAGGAAGAAGTTAGAGACAGCCAAGAAGGTTTCACCAAGAACAAATCATGCCTAACTAATCTAGTGGCCTTCTACAATGGAGTAACTTCATGGACTCAGTGGACTTTGGAGAACATCAGTGTACAGTGTACCCTGGAACAATCAGGGTGTAGGGGCAAAGAACCCACCTGGATCTTTGGAGTGACAGGGTGTTATGAGCAAAAAACAGGTGTGGATCCCTCATGGACAAGGCACACACTCAGCAGCTGAGAGCTTTGATTTTAATGAAAGTGCAGTGTTACCATAGTGGGAGCCCCAGGACATCGATGATAATCAAATGGGGACCTGATACCGTGGAACTCTGCTCAGGAGTGAAGCTCACGGGAAAGCACCGCAGGGGTGGATAATAAAACTTGCACGGATTAACATATCATACATATGCAATGTCCTGTTTTGCTCATTAGCGAACTCGCTGATGTAATGCAGATGCTGTTGTCCAAATTCCTGCAGCTGGCCTTCACGTGTGGGCTGTGCAAGGGTATGTGCAGATGAAAGGAAAGTGAACTACCCCAGGTTACCATAACAGTGAGATAAGATGTGCTTGGGTCTCTACATACTCAGATGAGGAGGCTGACTATCCTGGGTTACCATAACCAAGTCTTCTCATGCCCTATACTCCTCCCCTCACCTCCTCCATGAAGAGTTACAAGGTATTGTCTGAGTCTGCAGAGTGTAGCTCTTGCTGAGTTTGATGGAGTCCTAAAAAACACAATTCCACAGTGTCATGGGTTGAGATTGCCCCCCCGGGAACTGGGGGGCTCAGAGGTGATTGGGTGCCAGGGCAGTGTTCCCTGGAGGGCCAATCACCGTTCGTCTTGTTCGCTCCTGCTGAAAAATCATATATACACAACCACCGGAAGTTGTTGGCAATTCTGTCTGTGTCTGCTACTGTGTGTGGGTGTGAGAAAGGCCGAAGGGGTGGCAGGGCCTCCTTTTTCCCCCTCCGGGGGGAGGGGAGGCCCTGCAGCCCACAACTCTGCCTAGGCCAGAGTTGGAGGCAGCATTGGAGTAAGTGTGTGTTGTGAAGGAAGGGATTCGCAACACCTGAGGTAAGAGGGAGAGGCAAGCCCCTTGCAAGGAGGGTAGGCCCTCTTCCCCCCCCTGCAGCTGGGCTGCGGGGCACTTGGGACAGTGTATAACTGGACCGAGCTGCCTGTGGCCAAGGCTAGGGGGCTTTTTCCCTCTCACTGTTAAGTGAGAGCGGATACAAGGCTTAGTATTGAAGCTGAGCCAAGAGACGGGCTGATAACGACAGCAGCTCGGTGCCAGGGAGAAAAACCCAGGTGAAATTGGAGACGGGCCAGAGAGAGGCTCGGGGGGTGCCCTGCCGAGGTTTGACCAGGGGCATCCAAAAACACAGAGGAGGAATGAAGATTCCAAACGCGTACTGTGATAAGCTACACTACAGCAGCAGCGAACCGAGGTATGAGGTATGAGAGAGAGAACCACACAACAGAGATGGCACAGAACCAAGGAGAAAGGACTCAAAGCTATCTTCTTAGACTTCGTGAAGAAAGGACTTCGGCAAACAGCTGGAGGTTGGTGGGGGGGAGTGTTCAGGTTCCCCGAATACTCCCACGAGAGAGAGACTGCATTACCTATCAGCCTAAAGAGTTTTTTCCTGGACTGAATTGAGGGAGAAAGCTTAAAGGGACTGATAGAAATGTATAATATTATATATACAGTTACTTTTAGCTTGTACAGTATTTATTGTGTATTTATTGTGTAGAATAAATGTAAATATACTTCCCCTTTCCCCTATAGAAGCCTCTTGCCTGAAAGTTTTCTCTTCGGTGTTGAGATAAATTGTAGGAGGGGGTGGGGGAAGCCTGGAAATTGGATTTTGGATTTCTAATGTGGCTCAAACTACCACACACAGGTAATACCAAAGTACAGTGCAACACATCCCAGAATTAAAGCAAACAATCCTGCACTAAATGTGCAGCCTGACCTCAGAGGGATCTCAGCCATGACCACAACCACTGATCTCCCTGCATTTGATGAATACCCTGAGCCAGCTGCTTCAATTGTTTAAGTTCTTTTTGAAGAGAAAGAACTTTTTCACTTCCATGGCTAATGATGAAACAGCACATACCATCAAGCTCACTACAGCAGTGGCCATGTCTAAGTAATACAAAGCCATGCGGTTTTGGAGAACACCTTTGTGGCAGCATTGTTTGAAATTGGTGGCATTAACAAAGATTGCACAAGCTTCTGGGGGGAAACATTATCAACGTGAAAAGCATAGGTGTGATAATCTAACTGGAAAATGATGGTACCCATATCATATAGGTTAGCAAAAGTCATGCATATTTGGAAACTTTCCAATAGAGTATAATTCTGTGGTGTACTGATTCCTAAAAAACATTTCCATCAGATCCCTCGCAGCTACAGTGTGAGGTAAACAGAAGGCTGATGCACTTAAGGCAGTATGTTACCATAGCAAAGTCTTCCCACGCCATACACAGGGGGATCTCAACAAATGTCTGCATTGGAAGATGAGGTGAGCTTAACTAGAGAAAGATGAGAGGAAAAAGCCTCGAGCTGTGCCTAGGGAGGTTCAGGCTGGACATGAGGAGGAATTTCTTCACAGAAAGCGTTGTCAAGGATTGGAATGGACTGCCCAGGGAGGTGGTGGAGTCACCATTCCTGGAGGTGTTCAAGAAATGACTAGTGCACTTACTGCAATGGTCTAGCTGACATGGTGTTGTTCGGTCAAAGCTTTGACTTGATGATCTCAGAGGTCTTTTCCAACCTAATTGATTCTGTGATTCTGTGAGTCCAACCTTTGACTGATTGCCACCTTGTCAACTAGACCATAGCACCAAGTGCCACATCCAGTCATTTCTTCAACACAAAGAGAGATGCTCCAGTCCCTTTACTTTGTCGCCCTCTGCTGGACCCAGTCCAGGAGCTCCATGTCTCTTTTGTGCTGAGGAGCCCAGAACTGGATACAGTACTCCAGCTGTGGCCTCACCAGGGCCATGCTCTTCCTAATGCACCCCTGGATACCATTTGCCTTCTTGGCCACAAGTCCATACTGCTGTTTCATGGACACCTTACTGTCCACCAGGACCCCCAGGTCCTTCTCCTCAGAGCTACTTTACAGCAGGTTGGCCCCCAGCCTGTACTGGCGCATGGGGTTGTTCTTCCCCAGGTGCAGGACTCTGCACTTGCCTTGGAATTTCAGACAATTCTTCTCTGCCCATCTCTCCAACCTGTTGAGGTCCTTCTGAAGGGCTGCACAGCCCTCTGGATTATTGGCCACTCCTCCCAGCTTTGTGTCATCAGCAAACCTGCTGAGGAGGCATCTACCCCTTCATCCAAGTCATTGATGCATAAGTTAAACAATACTGGGCCTGGTATTGAACCTTGGAGGACACCACTAGTGACAGGCCTCCAACTAGACCCTGTGCCGCTGCTTAGGACCCTCTGAAATCTGTCGTTCAGGCCATTCTCAAAGCAGTCTACACTTCCTGAGTTTGCCTATGAAGATGTCATGAGAGACAATGTCAAAAGCCTTGCTAAAGTCAAGGCAGACAATATCCACTTCTCTCCCCTCATCCATCCAGGCAGTAATTTCATTGTAGAAGGCAATCAGGCTGGTCAAGCATTATTTACCTTTGGTGAATCCATGCTGACTACTCCTGATCACCTTTTTGTCATCCATGTGGAGAGAGATTGCCTCCAGAATGAGGTGCTCCATCACCTTTCCAGGGATTGAGGTAAGGCTGACTGGCCGGGAGTTCCCTGGGTCCTCCTTCTTGGCCTTTTGAAGACTGGGGTGACATTTTCTTTCTTCCAGTCCTCAGGCACCTCTCCTGATCACCATGACCTTCCAAAGACGATCATGAGCAGCCTTGCTAAGGTGTTTACCAGCTCCCTCAGCACTCAGGACTTGTGGATTTCAAGCTTGCCTAGGTGTTCTCTAACCCAATCCTCCTCGACTAAGGTAAAGTCTTCCTTCCAACACTCCTTTACCCTGGTCTCCTGTGTCAGAGATTCCTCAGGGCTGGTCTTGTCCCTGAAGACCAATGTAAAGAAGGTGTTCAGTAACTCTGCCTTCTGTGCATCCTCTGTTACCAGGGTACCCCCTCTATTTAGTAATGGGCGCACATTATCCTTTGTTTTCCTTTTCTTACTGATGTATTTGAAGAAACCCTTGCTATCCTTGACATCGTTGGCCAGATTTAATTGCAGATGGGCCTTGGCCTTCCTTGCCTAATTTCTACATACTTTGACAACCTCTCTATATTCATTACAAGTGGCCTGTCTCTCACGTGTCTTTCACCTCCTCTGTATTTCCTGCTTCTGCTTGAGTAATAACAGGAGTTCCTTGTTCATCCACGCAGGTCTCTTGCCCCCTTTGCCTGATTTCTTGCTCATCAGGATGCACCATTCTTGAGCCTGTAAGAAATGGTGCTTGAACCATCTCTATCTTTCCTGCAGGGTCCATTCCCATGGGATTATTCCAAGAAAATCCCTGAAGAGGCTAAAGTTAGTTCTCCTGAAGTCCATAGTTGTAATCTTACTTACTGCCCTGCTTCGTCCTCACCCAATACTGAACTCCACAATCTCATGGTCACTGCAGCCAAGGCTGCCCCCAACCTTCACATCTCCAACAAGGCCTTTGTCAGAGACTGGATTCATATCTTACCAGATTGTTTGATTGATGGGTTGAATAAACCATGTTGCCTGTTTGGGGGGGGGGAGGAAGGGCTAGGCTTAGGCCTCTAGCCAACATGGCTGCGCCCATGCAGAGCACATGGCAGAGAAAGCCATGTGGCTGAGCTGTCAATAAGGTCTGCCTGGTGGCCCGCCCACACCGCGCTCCCTGGAGCCTCTAATTGGCTATGGCATCCCTCACTTTGGCTAAGGGGACAGTGAGTGGCAGTGAGACAAAGGTCCTGCCTAGGGGGAGTGGCCACAATAGCCAGAGTCTATAAATAGACAATGCACAGAGGTCTCTATCCCCCCTTTGGCCTCTGCCCTCCTGACCTGTCAACATGTGACCTCCAGAGTGGTAAATATGTCTCTCTCCTCTCTTTCTCTCTTTATTCTTTCTTCTCTTAATCTCTCTTCCTTTACTCCTGTGGGCAACTTGTCGGTATTTCATTTAAGTTATGGATATTTCACTTAAGTTTGTGTTTGCTGGGTGTAACAAAGGTTCCCTTACTACAGCAATGCTTGCTAGTTTCAGTAACCTGTAGTAATGCTTTTGTGAAGTTGCATGTTATTTCTGTTAAACCCTTTTTGCCAAAACCCCTCTTTCTCACCAAATCAAAAGAAATCTCTTGGAGAAAAATGTGTAGTTTTTCTCCGGACGTGAACTCAAGGTACCAAAGAATCAAAAGGCTTTGCAAGAGTTTGCGTGGGCAAAATCTCTTGAAGCCTGAAATAAAAGTGTAATACCCTGTAAAGCGTGGAGCTTCTAAACCACGTTGTAACAGTTGTTAGTATGCGGTCAAGCAGCACACCATTCCTTGTGGGATCCTCCACTACCTGTGACAGGAAGTTGTCATCAATGCTTTCCAGGAACCTCCTGGACTGTTTGTGCTTTGCTGTGTTGCTTCTCCAGCAGATGTCTGGGTAGTTAAAATTCCCCACAAGAACCAGTGCCTGTGACTTTGAAGCTGCTTCTAGATGCCTGTAGAAGGCCTCATCCACTTCCTCCTCCTGATCAGGTGGCCTGTAGCAAACACCCACAACATCACCCTTACTAGTTTGCCCTTTTATCCTAGCCCATAAGCTCTGGACTCGCTCATCATCCTCACCAAGACAGAGCTCGATACATTCCAAGTGTTGCCTCACATAGAGGGCAACTCCACCACCGTGCCTTCCTGGTCTGTCTCTCCTAAACAGCGTGTAGCCCTTCATGACAACATTCTAGTCATGTGAACCATCCCACCACGTCTCCGTAATTGTAATGAGATCAAAGCCCTGTGACTGCACATAGATCTCTAGTTCCTCCTATTTTTTCCCCATATTGCATGTGTTGGTGTACAGGCATTTTATAGAAGTATATGATTGCGTCAATATCCCAGTAGGGATGCAAGCGGTGCCCCATAGTCCTGTCTTGTGGTTACATCTTTGGCTGCATGCGCTTGCTGAGGGTATCCCCTCTTAAGCCTCCTTTTGCTACTAGGGTGTGCACTAAGGTTCTCCTCCTCCCACACCTTATCTCTGTTGATCCTGGCTATGTCCCCATCCCCCTTCAAATCTAGTTTAAAGCTCTCTCAACAATGCCTGCTAACTCCTGAGCTAGGATCCTTTTACCCCTTTGAGACAGATGGACCCCTTTGTTGCCAGCAGGCTCGGTGTTGTATAGACTGAACCATGATCAAAACCCCCCAAATTCTGCTGGTAATACCAGTCTCAAAGCCAGATGTTCATCTGAATGATTTTCCTGTTTCTTGCCCCATCATGTAATCTCAAAACCTCTCTTCACGATTTTTGAGCGATCTTGGGAATCCAGTGAGGTCCCAGCTGACTTGAAGCTGTCAAACATTGTCCCGATTTTCAAGAAGGGCAAGAAGGAGGACCACGGGAAATACAGTCCTGTCAGTCTCACTTCAGTGCCTGATAAAGTTATGGAGAAGATTAATCTGGGAGATATTGAAAAACATCTGAAAGACAATGCAGTCATTAGTCACAGCCAGCACGGCTTCATGAGAGGAAAGTCCTGCTTATCAGACCTGGTTTCCTTTTATGACAAGTTAACCCACCTAGTTGATCAAGGGAAGCCAGTTGATGTAATCTTTTTGGATTTCAGTAAAGCTTTTGATACTGTCTCACTGGATCCTTCTGGACAAACTGTCCAGCACACAGCTGGATAAACAGCAGGACTTGAAGGGATACTAAGTAAGTTTGCAGATGACATAAAACTCAGAGGAGCTGTTGACTCCCTTGAAGGCAGGGAGGTTCTGCAGAGAGACATCGACAAATGAGAAGACTGGGCAATCACCAACCCTATGAAGTTCAACAAGGCAAAGTGCCGAATTCTGCACCTGGGATGGGGCAACCCTGGATGTACAGACAGACTGGGGAACGAGATGCTGGAAAGCAGTGCTGTGGAAAGGGACCTGGGGGTCCTGGTCGACAGCAAGTTGAATATGAGTCAGCAGTGTACTTGGCAGCCAGAAGGGCCAACTGTGTCTTGGGGTGCATCAGGCAAAGCATTGCCAGCTGGTCGAGGGAAGTGATTGTCCCACTAAGGCACTGATGTGGCCTCACCTTGAATATTGTGTGCAGTTTTGGTCACCGCAATATAAGAGAGTGTCCAAAGGAGGACAACGAAGATGGTGATGGGCCTTAGGGGAAGTCATATGAGGAGCAGCTGAGGTCACTTGGTCTGTTCAGCCTGGAGGAGACTGAGGGGAGACCTCATCGCAGTCTACAACTTCCTCGTGAGGGGAAGAAGCAGGGCAGACACTGATCTCTTCTCTGTGGTGACTAGTGACAGAACCCGAGGGAATGGCCTGAAGTTGTGTCAGGGGAGGTTTAGGTTAGATATTACAAAGAGGTTCTTGACCCAGAGGGTGGTTGGGTGCTGGAACAGGCTTCCCAGAGAAGTGGTCACAGCACCAAGCCTGCCAGAGTTGAAGAAGCATTTGGACAATACTCTTGGGGATGGTCCTGTGCAGGGCTAAGAGTTGGACTTGAAGATCCTTGTGGTTCCCTTCCAACTCAGTATATTCTGTGATTCCCTGCAACTGGCAGGACAGAAGAGAACACAACTTGTGCTCCAGATCCCTGGACTAATTGTCCCAAGGCCCTGAGGTCCCTCTTGATTGTCCACAGCCTTCTTGTTGGGACTTGGTCAGTACTCACCTGGAAAACCAGTAGTGGGTAATAGTCAGTGGGCTGTACCAGGCTGGCAAGTTTCTTGGTGATGTCTCTTACCCGGGTCCCAGGGAGGCAACACATCTCCCTATGGGTTGGGTCCAGTCGGCATATCAGGCCCTCCATTCCTCTCAAAAAGGAGTCATAAGTGACTACTACCCTTCTTTTTTTCTTAATTGTGGAGGTCATAATGCAGAGGGTAGGGTTCATCCACATTTTCATTTTCCTGGTCCTCTGATTCCAGGGCCTCATACCTATTGTGTAAGGGCACCTGGGAAAGTGAGGTAGGTCAGGAGGGGATTTGCCTGCCATCCCAAGCAGAAACCTGTTTTCACTCCCCTCCGTCTTTAAGGTCCCTTCCTTCTTCCTGGTGGTGAGAGGGTAGGGTAGGGGATCCTCTGCTTCCTATGAAGTAGATGGTTGGTGCATTTGTCTAAGGCATGGTAGAGAGCAGCTCCACCAGTCAATCTCTTCCTCAGAGTCCCTAATACTACTTATCCTTTCTACTTTGTCTCTCAGCTCTGCCACTGGGCTGAGCAGATCATCCACCTGATTGTACCTCACACAGCTGTTCTCTCTGCTACCCTCTGAGAGCACTGCCAGGCTCTGGCACTCCCTACAGCCTGAGACCTAGACCACTGCATGCTTTCATGGGCACTCTGTCTGGGTCGCCATATCCTTTCTGGTATGCGCAGAGGAAGCAACTTTTGTCCAAGTGGACACCATACCTGAGCTCTCTTGATGAGGGTGATGACCACCAACTGAGCTAACTGAGCTGGCAGTGCCTCAGTGCCCTTCCTGCTCTCCCTGCCTGCATGAACTGCTGCTCCCAGCTGACATGCTGCACTCCTGGTTACTCTTGCTCCCTGAGGCTGGCTTTTCTATGGGTGGGCTTGGACACTGTCCCTGCTAACGCTGCCCATGCTGAGTCAGAGCTGCCTCTGAGTCAGAGCTCCACTGCTTCCTGCTCTGGGGCACCTCTCTATACTCTAGTTTCAAGGTCTTGCCAGGTAGGAAAGCTTGCCTTGTTTCCTCAGCACGATCCTCGGCTCCAGAGCACATCTGTCCATGCAGATTGCCTTGGAGTCTTCGCCGACATGGCCACACATTTTCATGTACTTTTAAAAGGGCAGAGTTGAAAGGTGACCACATAAACATAACGCATCTGTGTCAGAAGGTACATTTATGGTCTTTTATGTACTACAAATCAAACTTTGATTTATTTAATTTATACTAAAAAAATCATCTGATGGTGATGCCTTAAGACCCTTTTAGTTTCTTAATTTTCTAATTTTGTAAGCTTTACAAGTTTTATAGGTAGTTAAGTAGTAGAAGTAGATTTTAGAAGCAACAGCCCTTATCCCTCACCATGTAGCATAATAGTTTACACATTCCTCAACCCTCTTACCCCATTCCATGCTCCCCATATCAATCCTACCCCTGAATTCAGTAGAAATGTTTAGTCTTTTGTCAAGGCAAGGCCTATGCTGTTTAGAGAACACTCATATCTTGGCCTGAACAACAGAACACAGTCAAGAACTGGGTGACCGTGTACCCTTTGTGCTCTGAAGATGGTGATGGTGAGGAAGAAGTGGTCCCAAAAAGTCCCCAGACCCAATTCCCAGGGGGTGGGCCCGGGGCAGACCAGAGCAAAGGGTACGGGGTGGAAACACTTGGGATTGGACAGATAGTATTATAAAATGTAACAGGCACAGCCGGCGCGCGTCCTGTAACATCTATGCCTTGGCATAAATTAAACCCTTTCCTTATCTCACCCTCAATTAACTGCTCCTGAGATTTTTTCTTTAGCATCAGCTGCTGGCATCAATGGAAAACAGTATTTACAAAACTGCTACATAGATGATTAAAATATTAAGCTTATGGATATTTCTTCTCTCAAAAACTAAAATTTCTAGTGAAAGAAAGAGAAAAGGAGGAAAAGTTATCTACACCTTTGCCTAGTACTCCTCCCATACAGGGAAACTCCTTCAAACCACAAAAATATCTATTTGTCTCCTATCAGAAAGAAGTGTTGGGGAAACTAGACCAAGGATTCAAACTGGAAGAAGCCATAGTAAATGATAAATTAAAAACTCTTTTTCTCATAGATACTGGAGTGCAATCATCCATGATTAAAGCAGAATCATGTCCTGGAGTCATCCCTCTGAAACATCAGAAAATATGAGTAAATGGATAAATGAAGTAGTGGTTCCTTATTCAATTGTTAGGGTAAAATTGGAATTTCCCTTTTCCACTCCCCATCATTGTCCCTGCCCCCCAATACTAAATGCTACTAAGAAACCTAAATATATTGTGTATGGATATTCTGTGAGGCAAAAGCTGGATACAGGGCAAAACTAAACAGGCTTTTGAAACAGACACACACCAGATGCCTGATGGAATAAGCTCATTTTTCTGCTCTCCAAACAACAAAACCTTTAAAAGTTCCACTGTCAGCCTGTGGCTTTTGTCAGGGTGACGCTGTTCTTGACTGGAATAATAATCGTGTCATTCAGTTCATGGACATCATCTCTCAAATGGGTAATTAATCAAACTGTTGGTATTTGTAGAGAATTGATATGTGCGCAGGTAACCAAGAGGACCACACCACAGCTAAGGTATTAAAGAAAAGTTTATTCTGAAGTTGGAAACCCTGAATACACTGCAATGTATTACTGAATGATCATGCAGCAGATGAAAGAAGTGCCCAGCAAGCCTATTTCTGGTGTTGTTAGAACAGCACCTCAAGGCTGTGTTCTCTCCTGTCCTTTTATGGTCTCCCTCTCTCCCAGCAGGGGCCTCACAACATAGAATCATAGAATCAGCCGGGTTGGAAGGGACCTCCGAGATCATCAATTCCAACCCTTGATCCACTACCACCATGGTTACTAGACCATGGCACTAAGTGCCACATCCAGTCTCATCTTAAAAACCTCCAGAACCGGAGAATCCACCACCTCCCTGGGCAGCCCATTCCAATGCCTGATTACCCTCTCTGTAAAGAATTTCTTCCTAATATCTAACCTAAACCTCCCCTGGCACAGCTTAAGACCATACCCTTTTGTGTTGCTGATAGTTGCCTGGGAGAAGAGACCAACCCCCACCTGGCTACAAGCTCCTTTCAGGTAGTTGTAGAGAGTGATGAGGTCTCCCCTGAGCCTCCTCTTCTCCAGGCTAAACAACCCCAGTTCCCTCAGCCTCTCCTCATAGGACTTGTGCTCGAGTCCCTTCACCAGCCTTGTTGCTCTTCTCTGGACCTGCTCCAGCACCTCAATATCCTTCCTGAACTGAGGGGCCCAGAACTGGACACAGTACTCCAGGTGTGGCCTCACCAGCACTGAGTACAGGGGAAGAATCACTTGCCTGGTCCTGCTGGCCACACTGTTCCTGATACAGGCCAGGATGCCATTGGCCTTCTTGGCCACCTGGGCACACTGCTGGCTCATGTTCAGCTTCCTGTCAATCCAAACTCCCAGGTCCCTTTCTGCCTGGCTGCTCTCCAGCCACTCTGTGCCCAGCCTGTAGCACTGCATGGGGTTCTTGTGGCCAAAGTGGAGGACCCAGCACTTGGCCTTGTTGAACCTCATCCCGCTGGAATCAGTCCAACTCTCCAGCCTGTCCGGGTCCCTCTGCAGAGCCCTCCTGCCTTCCAGCTGATCAACACTCCCCCCCAACTTAGTGTCATCTGCAAATTTGCTGATGGTGGACTCAATCCCCTCATCTAAATCATCAATAAAGATATTAAATAGAACTGAGCCCAACACTGATCCCTGGGGGGCACCACTAGTGACCGGCCGCCAACTGGATGCAGCACCATTCACCACCACTCTCTGGGCCTGGCCCTCCATCCAGTTCTTAACCCAGCACAGAGTGCCCCTGTCCAAGCTGTGGGCTGCTAGCTTTTTCAGGAGAATGCTATGGGAGACGGTGTCAAAGACTTTGCTGAAGTCCAGGTAAACCACATCCACAGCCTTCCCCTCATCCATCAGGCGGTCACCTGATCATAAAAGGAGAACAGGCTAGTCAGACAGGACCTGACCTTCCTAAACCTGTGCTGCTGGGTCTGATCCCTTGTCCATCCTATAGGTGCTGTGTGATTGCACCGAAGACGATCTGCTCCATAACCTTGCCAGGCACTGAGGTCAGGCCGATGGGCCTGTAGTTTCCCTGGTCCTCCTTCCGGCCCTTTTTGTGGATTGGTTTGACACATGTCTGTGAGAAAGTGTTATCTCTAGACAGAAATCCTACTTCTCAAAACAGGCAGAGAATAAACATCAGTAGGTGTAATAAATGGGATTTTCCCACACTGATCTTTTCCAGGCCTAGTTCTCCTAGCAGCAAAAACTTCCTTGAGCGAAAACTCTTTTTCCTCCTTGAATAAATCTTCTGGATCTAACTTTTGTGTCCCTACGGTATTGTTTACACCATCCTCAATCTTCAGATACTAATTTTGCACAGTTATCTGAATCTGTTCCTGAAACATCTTGGTATCAATCTAAATTCGCATACTTCCCAACCCTCCAACTTATCAAATCCAACCTTTTAAAGCACATTTGCATGATAAAACCCCATGGTTCATTACAATGCTTGAACACACAAATTCAGTGTGGGAGAAACAAGCCTTTGTGACTCTACTCTGCTCTACAACTGGATGCAAATCCAGTTTCAACTGATATGATGTAATTGAACCAGAGTTTGTAATTACTCCAATTTAAAAACCACATCAATCTGTAAAAACAAAACACTGCTGTTTTAAATATTTCACAACTCTGGAATCTTGAGTGGAATATTTATGGTACATTTTGCCAAAGATTCTGTAATTTCACTGGTCCTAATTCTACATTTTACATTCTACAGAGTAATGGTTGGTTGGGGCCCCCGGTGGTCTAGTGGTTAGGATGTGGCGCTCTCACCACCGTGGCCCGGGTTCGATTCTTGCTCAGGGAATTCCCCTGGGCAGATAGAGCTCGTCAGCCCTGTAAGGCCATCCATCTAAGAGAAGGTCACTCTAAACAAACCTACGTCCTGAGGTCCTCGCTGCCATTGTCCAAGCTCGCTCGGCCCCGGCAGATGAACCTTAGGATTAAAGGGTGGGCTCAGTTCAGCGCACAGTGTCTCACCTAAAAAATCCATTGCGCAGGCTCGAAGGGTAAAGATCTTTCCCAAATCTTCGTTCGCGAAGACTGGCCATATAGGTTGGTTAAGTACTAACAACAGTTGGACCACTGGTAAGTGGCATAACATGACCGGCTGTATATATGCCAATTGCTGATCACACTATTTGAATAAGCCACACTTGCCTATTCAAATTTGATCATCCTGACAGTGAAAAGGAGACTTATCAATGGTGTGAGGAATATTTCCCTAGATATTCTTATAAAATCAAATGGGTGGCCTATCATTCTAGCATCCGGATAGTTTTGACTCTGTAGCACAAACACATAAAAGTCTTCCACAACAGTGAGAAGTACTTGTACCATAGCACATCTTGCTCCCTGTGCATTCCAAACCAAAAATTTAACTACTCCCTTTTTACGCAACCATTAGCCTGTATGCCATAAGCATTTTGTGATTGATCCCCTGGTAAAAACACTTATTTAGACCTATATCACAATTAGCTATTCAAAATTGTTGGGCCATAGATTATCTTCTAACATCACAAGGAGGTGTATGTGTACTGTCAACTACCACTTGTTTTTATACTAACAAATCTAAACAAATCAAATATCATATAAACATAATTCACAGACAAGTTCATACCTTTCACCAAATGACTTGAGCAACCCTTGTCAGAAGGTCTGTCAACTGCCTGGTTTTGGTTGTGGTCTTGGTTACCTGACTTCAGAGCATGGGTCTGTCATGTTCTGTTAATACTAGCTCTTACTATGTCTGTTGCAATTACGTTATTTTGCATTATATCTTGCTTTAAATCTTTATGCATATCAGTTACTAAAAATCAATGTTTTATACTCTCCTTCCTCCTCGTATGAACAGCCTTGGGACAACAAGCAGCCCATTATTGCTGTGGAATCCTCTTTATGACCTTATTACTAAGTTGCAGGCCGTGGGCAAGAGGTGATGGTACCACTACCACTGGCATCCTTCTCTGTTTGTGATGGTGTCAGGGGGTGGGGTGTGACAGGTACCCCCTGCTCACGACCCCTGGTAATATGGTTAGCATAACTAATGTCATTTTATAAGACAAACAACCATTCTCTGTTACCGAGCTGGTTATGTATTCGTTCCCTTTCCCCTCATTATGAGGCCCTGAAGGTCCTGTGAACCAAGTAGATGAATTAAACAGATTTCTTCTTTCCCTCCCTATGAGCCTCAAGATTCCTGGGTACCAGGCTAACTACTCCCTTCCTTACCAGCCTTGAAGGCCTCAGGCAACCCAGATAACCAGGTGTTGTTGATGACTCTGTCACAGAATAGGGAAGCATAACTGTGGGAGACTGAAATGGTTAATGGCTTAAACATTGTTAAGATCATCAGAGGACTTTTGTCCACTGTAGCAAACTATGCAAAGAAGCAGCTGCTCATCTTCAACCACCAAAGCCTGCCCCTCCCCAAATATGCCTACTAACTGGAATTTGGACTGTGAGAATTTGTAACTTGAGATAAGATAAAGGTGGTACCACTGTCCAATTATCCCAGGTGCTGAGGGCGTGCTGGGTGTTGAACAAGATAAGGAAAGAGGCAAATCCTGTGAGGCAGAGTAGTGTTTCTTTGTCCTTACACAAGTGACTCAGCTGTGATAACTCCCCTCCAGGGAAGCATGGGGACATTCATACCTAACCTAAAGGTATTCATCTCTGCTGATGGGCCACAATGGGGTATAATGGACTCAACTGCACTGATGTAATAGGCAGATGTAACATCTTAGAAGGTATCAAAGAGTCCTGAAATGTCCTGTGATCCAGTATTACATCATCAAGTGTAAAACTCCCTGCCTCGGGGGAGGTACCAGGGCGTTTCCGCCTAGCCTAAGCATAATATAAACCCAATGGACTCTGTTTCACAGGCTTTTTCCCCCACCCCCAACCTTGACCATCACTTCGACAGGACCATCACCATCACTTTGACCAACAAACATCGAAACTACAACAACCAAGCTACATACCTGTTTCCCTTTGCAACCAAATTGTTCTAAAATAAACCCTATATATATATATATATATATATATATATATAAACACTGGTCATTCAGTGTCATTTCATTCTAATCTGCTTCAAGGGATCTATTAATAAGAACCTGGGTTACCCTTGCCTTCAGGGGTGTGTTGTAACAGTAATGAAGCAGTTACAAGTCCTAAGTGAGAACTTGGACTAGAACTGCTGCTGGACAGTGAGACCTGTGACCTCCCAGTGGCCAGGGATGCCTCTACCATCACCTGCTTCCTCTGAGGATTGAGTGACAAGTATCTTTTTATATGTTTTTTGAATCTAGATTATGATTGTTATATTGATACAGCAAACCAAGTATTAAGATTTGACCTTATCTGCAGAGGGTCCAGGTGATTAGAAACCATAAGCTAAGTGGTGCTATAAAATTCTGTACTATGCTACTTATAAAATTATACTACACTGATTCTGCTTATAGAAATCTTGTGCTATTCTGATTATAAATTATATGCTATGCTAATCATAAAATCCTGTTAAGAAAAATAAATCTTTAATTGTAACTATGACTTAGTGCTGTCATAATCCCTAAAAGAACCTATCTGTCCCTTGGGTTTAGGTGACACCATGAGATCTAGATACATTTATTGATGTCTACTGTAGCATATCACTTGCTAGTTATGCTATTAAATCTCTGCAAGAAAAAACCCCATGCTAATCAATACATTAACTTTCAAGTTCGATGGAAGGTATGATATATATTTTGGATAAAATTAAGGTTAAAAACAGATATACCAGAAATGCTAGAGCAGTTTAAACAAAAAGGTAGTTAGAAGACTTTTGCATTAAAATTTACTGCAAAACTATTTGCTAGTTAAGAGCTCTGACATACTAAGTTCCTGTTTCATTAACATTTTCTAAAGCTCTAAGCACTTAAGCTCATGCATTCACCTAAAAGTAGTTACCTTTTTTGTGGCAGACTAATGCTTCAACACTGACATGAAGTTTCCTAAGTTGCTGATCCAAATTCTCAAATTGCTGTTGTTTTTCTTCAAACCACTGACAAAAGAGGAAAGAGTCTAGGATTATAATTTAGATTACCAACAGCATTCCTTGTTTTAAAGAAGCAAATTATCCATTTATTGCTAGGATGGTCAAATGATACATCTAAGAATCAAAGCCAATAAGCAAATTACTATCTTATTTTCTATTTCTATAGCTTTAAAGTGCAATTGTTGAGCTTTATTAATTTGATTCATTATTCAAGTAAAAAAAATGAGCTCTTACTGCATCTGATTCATTCATCTTAATTGTCATTTTGTTGACAGCATCAGCAGCCTTGTTTACCATCCTCAATATTCCTGCTCCACTCAGAGCCTGGGTGTTAACAGCTCTAGGCAGCTGGAAATGAATGACAAATAAGGGCAGACTGGTTAAAAGGCTAGAGGTTTAACTGGGTACAAGAGGGAGAAAAGGATAATCTATTTTCCTTACTCCTGTATGTTACAATATAGTGGAATCCAATTCCTCGGTTTTACTATTTTTACATTCTCAGAGGAAAACTTAATACAATTTACTTTTCTTCTATACCTTTACATTTAAATGGAACAAAACCCCCATTTGCCAGAAGTTATGAACTAGCCAAAGGCCCTAACTAGTCAGCTATATACTACAAAGAATAAACTGCCATTACAGAAACAGAAAAGCTTAGATTTATAATTAGATACATAAATTCTGTAAAACACTTCATTATAATGCAAGATTCACACTGTGTACAGATCATAGAAAGTTGATGTCTTTTTGCTTTTAAATATAGGCTAAGTTTCAAAACCTACCTCATGAGTATTGAGAGAACTGTGCATTTTTGAGGTACTTAGAAATCCTCATGAATAATTTAAGAAACTTGCAATTGATATTATTATTTGTTAACATTAGTCTATCAGTCCACTTACCCTTCATATCTGATACTTTGTGTCAACAGCATTGACACTTGAAGTTATCTATCAATCAAGGCTTCTGTGACTTATTAGCATAGCTAAGATATTGACATTGGCTGAAAGACAATCCACTATAACAGCAAATCCACTATGCACATTTATAGACTTATGTTTTTGGAGACATAACAGATAATCTGTTCCACAATATATTTCATTTTATGAAAGGTGCCAGATTGATAGCACTGGTGACTGAGGTCCTCTATCCACAAAACATCTAGCGTGGCCAGCAGCACTGCATGCCTGCTCACATTATGCCAATAAACCTCTGGCTTGACCCCTAGAGGAAAGAACTGCTTCCAAGCCAGTTTAATTCATGATGTTAATTAACCCTCGGTAGCACTGATTATGGATTTTCACTCTGTGTATGATGAGCTTCACTCAGAACCAGAAAGACCAACTCACTTGGCAGAAGTAATTGAACAGCAGATTTATCAGAGGTAGAGGCAGTAGGCTTTGTATACAATTACCTAAGTATCCTTTTGTCACTCTGTCCCATGAAGGGTGCAATTCAAATTGATTTCATGTGAATTTAGGAGATTAGGTCTCAATACAAAGAATGCATTACTTACCATATCTGGAAACAAATAAGGAACTTAAAAGACTTTAAATACCTCAGAACTTTCCAAGAATAGCCTTAAATCTGGATCCTGCAACAAGGTAGGGTGCTTTACTGTTCTTTGTAGATACCTATGATTTAAAAAAGTTCAAATATTAGATAACAAAATGGATTTCATGGACCTGATAGCATTGGAAAGTGTCTTTCAGCTAAAGAATGGGTACAATGCAGGCAGCATGTAACCTTTCTTCATTATCTAGTGGGGTTTGATCAGTTGTAAAATCACCTCTAAAGACAAGTTGCAGTGGTTTCTGTAAGGAATTAGCTCGTGTGAACCTCTTGCCTTAGCTCGTGTGAACCTCTGAGACGGCAAGGCCATAAGAAAGCAACAGTGTCTTTGATGTGCTAAAGCTGGGTGATAAACAGGAGGTTGGCATTACCAAAACAAAGGCAACTGATAAGCCACCTGTGTAAACAAAGCAAGGGAGTTAAGATGATATCACCACTTGACAAGTACCAATAATGAGCTTAATCCCTGTAATACGGATGAACCTATTATAGAGTGTATATTAAGCTGCTGTCAATCTACAATAAACAAAGTTCCTGGATTCTCACATTGAGAGTTCGTGGCTTTCCGTCGCGACAAATATGGCGCCCGTGTACAGGGATCAAGTGGGGTCCCTAGAGATCAAGTCAGATTTCTGGGCTGGAGTCAAGTCGGACTCCCGAGAACCAAGTCGGGTTCTTGCAGCCGCGGTCGGATGTAGTAGTTTCGGTCGGTCTTGCTGTGCAGCACAAGAAGGCGAAAGAGTTGGACGAGAAAGAGCTCAACTTGCCGCCGCCGAACGCCTCTTTGTTGGGGATTTTGGACGGCGAAAGAGTTACGCTCCACGTCCCAGGTAGTGAAAAGAGCTCAAACCTGCCGCCGCCAAACGCCTCTCTTTTGGGGATTTTGGACGGCGAAAGAGTTAAGTTCCGCGCTTCCGGCAACAAAATAGTTGGACTCAGCGCCCGGGACTACTCCTGAAGAAGGAGGCCCGCCGACAAAGCTGCAAGAAGTCTCGTGGAAAGGGCTGCACAAAGCGTGGTAACATGTTTTTTAGGTAATAGAGAGACAGGCGGCACTATCAGTGCTCCAATGCTTTTCAGAAAAGCGAGGAGTTTAGGGTATAGACTCTAAAAAGGAACTAGCAGGTGCCTGGACAAACAGAGACTCCGATTTCGCCGTTCTGAGGGACGTAGGGCGAACAGAAAGAGCCGAGGAAAACAGACGATAGACGAGACATTGCCCCCGGCGTCAAGAATTTAAAGCTGCGTGCAGAACCGCAATACAAGCGGCATGTCACCCTGGTCAGGTGAGCGGCTGAAGGGGGGCATGGGGTCCGCTCTTTCATAAGAAGATGAGGCGTGCGAACGCTCCTCTGTTTAATTCTCTCTGAGAGAGATTCTAATTATGACGAAAAAGCCCTCAAAGGGTTATTAATCCCCACTGTTCAAGCTGCCTTTGAGGTGTCCATACGGGATGCTATAAGGGACCAGTTAGGGGAAGAGATCAAAGTGCTGCATTAGCGAGCAGCGAAACTGAAAGCAAAGAAAGCGAGTCAGTTTTTCAACTTTTATTCATTATCTCAATAATCGTGCTACCGACAAATTTCAAGGTGCAGGTTTCTGCCCGATCGTCAGCCGGCGGCCCCAGTAGCAGTTTGTCTTTAGCCCTAAACAGTTTTAGCTCTATGCAGGACGCCAGAGAGGCCACTGCCAGCTCTGCCTCCCCCCGCGGCGAGCTCTCCGCCGCCCCCGCTGCCGTTTTTTCCCGTCGCTGCTTCTAAAGCTGCTGCCCTGTTGCTGCCTGGAGCCGAACCCGGCTCCGATGTACTGCCGCATGGAGCCGGTCCTCCCACCTCTCCTGTGCCAGCGCTGCCGAGCCGGGAGTCGCCCTGAGCTGCCTCGGCCAGGAGCCGCGCCGCTTCCGCCTGCCGCTGCCACAGCCCCCCCGCCACCGTGCGCTACCTCTGTGCGCTGCCGGCGCCGCCGTGCCTTGCCTTGCCTGCCGGGCCGTGCCCCCCGCCGCCTGCCCGTTCGCGAAAGCAATTCCCGCTGCCGCGACCCCGTCTCCACCAAGCCCAGCAAGACAATTTCGGTAGGAACGGGAGGAGGGGAAAAAAGCCGCGAGCGGGCCCGCACCATCACGCTGCTGCCGCTGCCTGCTCCCCGCGTCACCGAGTCCGACATCGAACTACGAGAGCAGACAGAGAGACTTAAAAAATCAAGTACAGCTGCCAGAAAACTTTTGCGGACATCTGTGGCAAACTCGAAGTTAAAGTGACGGGGCTCTCTGCAACTCCTCTGCCATTGCCAGCCCTAAGTTTTTACACACAGGTGTTTTCTAGTTATCTGCATGATGGATGAAGCCTTGAAAAGAAGCTGGTTCTTTGGAACAAGGTTGATGTTATTCCTGCAAGTGACTGTGACACCACCAGAAGCTGTTGTAGCTAACAGTTGTTTTAATATTATTAGAACACAGTTTATTAAACACAATTTCTTAGTATTTTTAAAGCACATAATTATAGAGAGTAAGAATATTAAGTATAATGTGTTGTGTGACCTTTAGATTACTCACTAAGCATTGGTAAAAGAAAGCTTATCTATCTGATTAGTTTTATCTGTGTAGTTAAGAAACTCTAGCATTATAAGGTACTAAAGAATTAATATAATTTCTTAGGTTTGTGGAACGCAGTGACATGGAACACAGAAGTATGCTTGTATGAAATGTGTTTGAGTGCTGGTGGCCACCATGTGGATGTGGGTGAATGGAAGTGTATACATGTGTGGGTGAATATGAATAAGTGTATATATATGAACACAAATTCACAAACACCTTTTGGTGACCAGATCACACAAAGCAGGTTACAGTCTATTTTTGGTTCAATGTCACAACAGGTTTTAAGTCTTGTTAAGAAAGGTTTACGATGGTTTCTGCTAATAAGATTTTTGTGGTGCCAAATAAAAACAAAACAAACAAAAAAAAAAAAAACAAAAAACAAAAACGGGGAAATGTAAGGAATTAGCTCGTGTGAACCTCTTGCCTTAGCTCGTGTGAACCTCTGAGACGGCAAGGCCATAAGAAAGCAACAGTGTCTTTGATGTGCTAAAGCTGGGTGATAAACAGGAGGTTGGCATTACCAAAACAAAGGCAACTGATAAGCCACCTGTGTAAACAAAGCAAGGGAGTTAAGATGATATCACCACTTGACAAGTACCAATAATGAGCTTAATCCCTGTAATATGGATGAACCTATTATAGAGTGTATATTAAGCTGCTGTCAATCTACAATAAACGAAGTTCCTGGATTCTCACATTGAGAGTTCGTGGCTTTCCGTCGCGACAGTTTTCTAACCTAGTTTGTTTATATGAAACTTAAGGTGTCATAATTTGCCATAAATCTATGTTGCACAGTATTAAAATAATATACTTGATATTTTTAACACCTCAGTGAAGGCTTCCTGTTCTAACAACAACCAATTTAAATGAACTATTTATTTGTTGGCTAGACAGCCTTTGACCTATATTAGTTCTACAGGACTCATCCACCCAGAAGTTAAATTAGTGCAACTCCTTCTTTTTGCAATTTTTTGCATTTCTGCTTGGATCTAAAAACTATTGATTGTACAAATATGAGTTGAAGAGGGAAATTTCTAGTTCTCATTCACTAAAAACTGCTGCAAGTTTGTCATAACTGATTTTAATATTATGTATTAACAGAAAACATCTGACATATACAAGAATGCTTTACAGAAACTTAATACCTCAAAATATCATGGGAGCATGAGAAAGTATTCAATACTGACAATTAAGATGAACATCATTAACAGTATTTGTACTTTTTGCAGAGCTTTAGTTTTGCTCAAGCCTCAGCTGTAAAGTGCCAGAACGGCCCCACTATAGTCACAAATTGCTTGCAAACTGTCCTAGAGAGTTATATAGACTGGGACTTAACTGAAAGTTTGAGTATATTGATATTGTAAACACAATGTATTTTCTCCATCCTCCATTAGATATAACCACCAGAGGCTTATTTTTCTTCCCAGAGAAGCTATGAGTTGCTGTGAAACTATTTAATACATTAGATTGCTCAACTTTTCCTTGCTTGTTCTGACAGTCAATAGCAAGTACAAGTTAAAGTTGACACAGCAAAAAAACTTTTTCTTTTGAACTTTGCTACTAGAGAATAGCACTTACTGCAAGGGTGATAATTAACATTTTCACTGGAGACAAATACAGGTGTATGCTTGAAGACACCTGTCAGACTTGTAGCACTTAAGTTCACTATTCTAAGGCATAAACTTCAATGAATTAAAAAAAAGGCACATTGCTTTTCTGTCCACTTTCCCCATAGCTCTGGGCAATCTAGAAAAAGCAATCTAGAACAGATTTCTTTGGTCTTTCTGGGACACATTAATCTGTTTTCCTTAGCTTTAGGAAACAGCAACATAACCATTGCCTCTAAATACCTTTTGCACACCTCAGTAGGTAGGTAACGTGTGGCCGGAGCAGAGAGATTTCTCTGAGCAATTTCTCCTGCATTTTGTAGGCCTTGCTTGACATGACTTTAGAAGCTGCAAGCTGTGTGAAACTATGCAATGTTTATACTCGTTAGCTGTGTGTTTATAGTTATAAGATATGAGAAAATAGTATGTTTATAGTAGAAAGCCTTGAGAAACTGGAGATAATGACACCTGCAGAATCTCAGAAAGCCCCTAAAGGCGGATCAATAGAAGGGACTTTGCATGCCAAAAATGATCTCAGGTCGCGTGGACAGAGCTTCAGATCCAATAAACTGAAAGCATGAGACGCGTGCACAGACTGAGCTATCCAATCACCTTGTTGTAAGCATGTACCCGGAACAAACTAAACTGTATAAAAGTTAACTCAAATAATAAATTGGACATCGCTGATCATATTGATCATCTGCGTTGTTCCTGAACTCCTGCCGTCCATAAGTGGCGGCCGAACAGGGACCCTTCAGATTGCCGTGTTCCCCGAGAACAGCTTTGGCAACAGAAAGAGGGAGCAGGAAAGCTGGCCGTGAGGGTGCTGCCCCGGCACCGAGAAAAAGAGCTCGAGCCACAGTCGACTTGGAATCTCACCCTGATCAGGTGAGTGGTCGGAGAGGAGATGGGGATAGCACATAGCAAAGAAGAAAAGGCAGTGCCGAAGCTCCTTCAATATATTCTCTCTAAGAGAGAGTTATCTTATAATAGAGGCACCCTTAGAAGGTTGCTAAACTGGGTCCGAAATAAGGGGTTAATCCCCACAGTAAATGCTGCGTTTGAAGTTCCAGAATGGGAAACTATAGGGAAGCAACTGTGGGAAGAGATCACAAAAAGATCTAAGGAAGCAGCTCGCTATCTTACGTTGTGGCGGCTGCTGACCGAAACACTGCAATCTATGAGAACTGAGAGGCAAGTTATAGCTTCAGCCTATGCTGCATTAGCGAGCAGCAAAACTGAAAGCATAGAGAGCGGGTCAGCTTTTCAGTTTTTATTCACTATTCCACCGATTGCGCTACCGGCAAATTCCAAAGTGCAGGCTCCTGCCCGACCGTAAGCCAGCGGCCCCAGCAGCAGTTCGTCCTCAGCCTCAGAAAGTTCTAGCTCTGTGCAGGACGCCAGGGAGGCCACTGCCAGCAGCACCTCCCCCTGCGGCGAGCCATCCACCGCCCCCCCCGCCGCCGTTTTTCCCACCGCCACTTCTGAGGCTGCTGCCGCGCTCCTGCCTGGAGCCGTGCCCGGCCCCGCCGTGCTGCCACGTGGAGCCGCTCCCCCCGCCGCTCCTGTGCCCGCGCCGAGCCCCGGCCGAGAGTCCCGGGCCGAGGGAGCTCCCCCGGCCCCGCCTTGGCCAGGAGCCGCTGCCGCCGCGCCGCTTCTGCCCACCGCTGCCATAGCCCCCCGCCGCCATGCGCCGTCAGCCCTGTCAGCGCTGCCGCTGCGCTGCCCCTGCCCGCGCCCACCGCTGCCGCCTGCCCAACCGTGCCCGCGCCCACCGCTGCCGCCGCTGCCGCGATTGCGACTGCGCCTGCTGCCATAGCCCAGGCTGAGCGACCGCCGTCGCGCCCTGTACGTCATCGCCGCGCAACGCCGACCCCGAGCCGCCAAAAGCCGCCGCAGCCATCACCCTCCCCCGCCGAACTCGGCGAGACAGCCTCGGCGAGAAAAAACGGGGGGGGAAGGGGCTACGAACCAGCCCACACTGCCGTGCCGCCCTATCTGCCACTGCCGCTGTCTGCGCCCCCGTCCCCGAGTTCGAAATCGGACTACGAGGACGGAAAGAGGGACTCAGAGAACCAGGCGCAGCTGCAGCTTTGGAGGCATCTGTGGCAGAAAAGAAGTTGAGGCGACAAGAGCCCTCTGCACCTCCTCTGCCATTGCCGGCTCCCCGTACCCCCATACAGGGGCAGGTTCCCCCAAGCCTTTTTTGTCGATTCCACCACCTCCACAGAATCCATTCTTGGAGGGGAGGGGGGGGGACCGTGCTGGGACGATTTGTAAATCTGCTGTTTGGGGGATCAAGGGCTGGCGAGAGTGGGGAGGGTCCGGTGCAGAGACAGAAGGGAATTCTGCGAAATGCTATGATAGAGGGAAAGTTTGTGTTGTTAACTCCTAACGCATTTCCAGTTATAATAGATGTGGGAGAAAATAGAAGCTATCAAGCCTTAGATTAGAAAATGCTAAAAGAAGCAAAATCTACAATTACTCAGTATAGGTTGAAATTGAGTTATACTACATCTGTGTTATAGCATTTGTTTTCTTCTATGGTGATAACACCCTGTGACATTAAAATGATAGCTAACACGTTATTCTTTCCCCACCAGCAGTTACAGTTT